ATATCTTTTAAATTGTTGTTAATTAATTAAAATTCATTTTTAGGCTAATTATCTTAGGATTTTTATTTATTGCACTTTTTATCATTAATTTATATAAAAATTATAAGAGTAAATTTTATTTTTAATACCATTTGCCAAAAAAATAAAATCTATTTTGTAACACCAATGCCATAGATTTTAAGGTTATTAGCCTCCACCTAAAAACTTAAGGGTATTAGCCCTTCAACAATACAATTTAAAGAAATCTCCCCTATTTAATGGTTTTAAAGTGCACACAATTAATTAAAAATTATCTTTATCTTTGTCAATGACACATTAAGATCATGCCACAGTGACAATCAATAGCAAATTCTTTCTCAATTTGATACAACTCCACTCTATCATGTTAAATAAAAAAGAAAACAAAAAAAAAAAAATTAAGGTCCTGTCATGGTGGCATGCCAAGTAGGATAGAGATGTAGATGTACCTTTAACTAAGATAAAGATAATGTCAAGCTAAAGGTGTGCAATTCAAATGCATTAAATAAGATGGAATTCTCTCAAATGATATTATTGAGGGGTTAAAACCCTTTAGGTTTTTGATGAGGTCAATACCCTTAAAATCTATTTAGGTATTTAATTAACATTAATAATTCTAATAATTAAAATCCATTTTAAGGCTAATTTTATCTTGATTGCAATTTATTTCTTTAATTAATCTTAGTCAACTAGGATTAATTATCTTAACTGGACTTAATTTCTTTAATTAGTCTTAATCCATATTAATTGGAATTGGCAAAATTCACATTTTTCTTATTGGCCCACATCCTTCTTAATCTGTTCACTTTAGTCCATTACTTTTAATTTGTTCCAATTCACCATCCTTATTTCTAATATCATTCAATTGGGTCCAAGTTTTTGAAAAAGTCTTTCAATCTCACCCATCCTTTTTGAGTTAAGTTAACTAAGACCTTACATAGGAAACAAATTGAAATAAACTCCTTCATTTTAAAGTATGGAACGGTGTTTTTACATAGAGGATTATAAGGTGCACATACATCATTCCTCACTCCTGACCTACCTCTGAGCCTCGATCTCTTGTAGACAAGTGTGTCAATAGTTTGGCAACTCCACTAGAGATTGAACCTAGAATAAGAACCTTTGATTTCCATATTCTTTATTCACGAGGATCAACCTCATATTTAAAATTTTGAGAATTTTTTACTTTCCTATCTTTGAGTGGTGAATCCTTGTTTGAGTCTTGTGTTACCTATTTTTACCACTTTGCCCATTTGCACATCTAACCCATGCTATGTCATTCATCATCTTTTGCCATGTTCATGCCTCATTACATTTACATATACATGCATCAAACCTCACATATTTTGCGTTATGCACATTCTTGACATGTTTATTTGTTTGTTTGTGAGTGCACTAACTGTTTGCACTTGGTAATGGAGTATTAGGTGAATTTCTACCCACTGTGTACTTAGATTTGGTTGTGACTATGTTTTTCGTTTTTCATTCCATTAATATTTTGTGGTGATATCTGTTGGGTTGCAATAACCTTAAGTGACCTTGCATTTTTATCTCCTGCTTTAGCTACTTTCTTTATCATTTTTTTGTTGCTATAACTATTTGATTTCTATATATTTCTATTCTTCTGAGATATTGTTGCTTTTGGCTCAATATGAGGGGACTCTTGCATTAATTAATTACCTTAATTAATTTAAATTAACATTAATTCATATTTGTTTAAATTAATCTAGTTAGCAAGCAATGGAGTCTGGTGACATTTCTAGGGAGATTGTTGAGCTGCCGCTTGAAAATCCAACTTTGAAATCACTAGCAAAGGAGGACACTAGTGATAACAATGAGGTTGTGAGACACTCCTCGAATGTTTCCTTACAACGCACTCAAAGGCCATTTCAGAGACAAAGTAGCTTGTTAGAGGTTAAGATTAAGTCAAGGTTGATGGACCATACAGCTGGAAAATTTGTGGAGGAAGAGGAGGAGGAGGATTAGTTAGTCAAAGAGGACTTACCTCAAGGTATGAAGAAGGAGAGAAAAAGTCTATGGGTCTTGCTCCAATGGGTGGGTTTTATTTTGATGAGTCCGACTTTGATTTCTAGCCTCACACTTCTAAGTTTAAGAAAAAGGAATTTATGGATACTTGAGTTATGGAAGTGGGAAATCTTGGTTTTGGTAGTTCTATCCGGAAGGTTGATATCTGGTTGGATTGTTAGAATAATGGTGTTTTTCATTGAGATGAACTTTTTGTTGAGGAAAAGAGTTCTTTATTTTGTTTATGCATTGAGGAACATAGCTCAAAATGGTTTGTGGATGGTTCTGATTTTGATTGTTTGGCAGTACTTGTTTGATAAGAAGGTTGTAAAGGAAACAAATAGTAAAATTATTAGATTGGTTACTAAGGTTTTAGTTTGTTTTGTGGTGAGTCTAATGTTTTGGCTTGTGAAGACACTATTGGTGAAGGTGCTTGCATCTTCTTTTCATAAGAGCACATACTTTGATAGAATCCTAGATTCTTTGTTTAATCAATATGTGATTGAGGCACTTTCAGGACCACCTAAAAACCAAAAAATAAAGGAAGAAGGGAGGGGAATTGCAGGGAGTGGAAAAATAAGGAAAAGTTCACAAGACAAAACCAATACCCTTTTATGCTTGGCTTCTAAGAAGGAAGATAAAATAAGTTGGGGCATAAGCATTGATGAGCTTCACCAAATGAATCCCAAGAATATTTCTGCTTGGAATATGAAGAGGCTGATGAATATGATTCAGCATGGTCCACTTTCTACCTTGGACAAGCAGATAAAAGATAGCAAGTCCACTGAAATTGAGGCGAAAAATGCAGCAAAAAAGATATTTGAAAATGTTGCTAAGCCTGGATTTGGGTATGTTCTTGATCTGTTTCTTTTATGCATGTATCCAAAATATATTTTGTGTATGTCTATTGCATAAGTAAGGAGTGGTATGGTCAAAGTTGCCTCGAGCTTTTCTTATATTTTAGTCGTTAGAGGTGGTTCTCTATGTTTATCGTAACCTTAATTGTTTTTTTTTTTTTGAAAGGCTTGTGATATAACTATTTTATCAGGCACATTGACTTGGAGGACATTGAGAGATTCATGGGAGAAGATGAGGCCCTGAAGACTACGAGTCTCTTTGAAAAAGGATCTGAAAGCAAGAAAATTAGCAAATCAACAGTGAAGAATTGGGTGGTAAGAATATGGCAATTTGAGCCACTAAGTTTGTTTTACTTAATACTTTTGTTATGTAATTATAAATGTTTGTGCTTTAATGTCTTTAAATGTCTTAGGTTAATGCTTTTAGAGAACGAAGGGCTCTTTCCTTGACACTGAATGATACCAAGACAGCTGTTCAAAGATTTCATTGGGTGGTAAATGTCTTGGTCATTATCATCATAGCAGTCATAAGTCTCCATGTACTAGGAATAACAATTGGGAAGGTCGTTCTCGTGGTTAGCACTCAAGTTCTTTTGCTTGCTTTCATATCTGGGGACACTTTGAAGGCAATATTTCAATCAATTATCTTCATATTTATAACACATCCATTTGATGTTGGTGACCGCTGTCAAATTGATCGCATTCAGGTAAGTTCTCATCAAATCATACCTTGTGGTCTAACCATAAAAGCCAACAAATAATGGCCAAAGAGTATCTAATTTTGTATCCACTCATTCTAGTTAAATCTTAGGTTTTAGAGTTACAAATTCTTAACAAAATTAGACATTTCAAATAAAAATTTGAATTAAACTCGTCATTGATTGAAGTTGAAGTTAAATTTACAATCTTTAAATTTATGCCCAAGTCATGTTAGCAATTTTTTGCAAAGAAATTTTTAATAATAATTTTATCTAATAAAAGAAATCTATATATATATTTATATATAAACTTAGTTGGGACAAAAATCAAAATTGTGTTCAAGCAGTATTTAAAGAAAAAATACATTTTCTGGCCAAAGAAAAGGAGAAAATTTCACATTGTAGTCCTTAATTGTGAATTTGGAAAGTCTGAGACCTTATTTGACCCTTATGCCATTTTTTAACGCGGCACATTTCATATATAGAAAAGCTGCCCCAGCTACTCTCTTCCTCTCACTTTCAAGAATGCAGAACACCCTCCGTCAGCCTTCAGCCATGTTTCTGAACCTAGCGATACGTGAAGGCGCCCTGTTCGAAGACGCCATGGCGGAGCTTCTAGGATGTGGAATCGACATGGGCACCCTGCGATTCTCGCCGGAAGGAATGTCACTCACGGTGGAATCTGATGGTGGCAGCGTCGTCGCTGCACTGCGTATCCTCGCCAACGGCGGTGGTTGCGAGTGGTTCCTCTGTTTGGAATCTGCCTCTGCAACACTGAATATCACTACCCTTCTTGAGATTCTTTTCGAAGCAAGTAATGGAAAGAGTGCCTTATCCATTTCGATCGACCCCCGTAATGGAAACAATTCCGACGAACCCAACACCAGCGGTAATTTCTCGAACCCCTTTTGATTCTCTGCTTCAAGAATCGAAATTGATTGAAAACCCATCGTTGAATCTAACTCAATTCTTGAATTCTTCTTGAAGAGTTTAAGGACGTTTCGTCTCCCGCCACTCTAGCCGTCAGCTGGTTCGATCCTGATGAAATAGCCTGCCCTCTCGGTAATTGTCGGACCCATTTCGGATTCTCCAAGAAATCAAAGATTGCCCATTTACTCTGTTTCTTTATTAACACAGACGATTACTGCGAGATGCAACTTGAAGTGAGGAAAGTAGCCGGAGAAAATGCGCTTCTGAAATTGGATGAATCAGAGTATCAGACGTCGGCCGGAATTTCACCGGCTGGGTTTGCCACACTGTTCTTGAAGCTGAAAGATGTCAGGACGGGGGATAACCGTACAAGTAATTTCTGAAATTTCTATTTTTATTTAATTAATTATTTTGATTTATCGATTAATTTTATTTCGAATTTATTTATTTATTTATTTTGTTTTTGTAGATGATGAAATAAAGGTGATGGCCCTCATATCCAACACGAAGAAGTTGGGCTTCTATACATGCTGCATGGGTTGGGTCCATGAAGAGGCACTACAATCGATTTCCAATTTAGTTTTTGCTTTTGTTATTATGGGTCATGGCCCAGGATTCTTTCTTTCTTTTTTGTAATATTTTCTTCATCTGATATGTGTATTTTTTGGGCATATTTAGTGGAAATGTTCATAATAATTTAATAGGAATTTCTGTAATATAGGGTCACAAAATTTCTTAAAAAATAGAAAAAAAAAAAGGGGTTAAATTTACTTGATAATTTTATAAATATTTAGAAATGATGTAAATTTTTGTGCAGGAGGGAGGGATTGAGGTTCAATGGGAGGGTCAGGGAGATGAAGTGATAAGCATGGGGATATACAATTTTGTTTTCTTGTGCAAACGCACATTTGCAGCAAAGGCAGTTATGGCACAGAGGATGTATTTTCACATACAGGATGGAGTGGGAAACCTGCTGAGATGTCCTCTTGGGTCTGGAGAACTGGGACACCTCTATTTCTACTCTCTTCATAGCCGTCTGCGCCTTCCTTTGGTTAATGAGGCTACTTTTGAATTTGTGAATACCCTCTAAGGACGAAACTGTAAGGAAGAAAAAGTTGAAAAGCATTAATTCTTTGTTTGATATATTGATTCCTATACTCAGTACATAGTAATAGTTGACAGAGAATACGGATTCTGTTTTGATATTGTTGTGATTGAGAATAAGCATTCGAATTTTCTTGTATATGTGATGTTGGCTTGAGTTCATGAACATGATGATGCTAATGAGAATGATTTCATTGAGAAAATTCTTTGTCTTTTGAGTGTATATACAGGGCAGTTTCATCTTGGAATTTTAATGTGATGGTTTTAAATTATGATGAAAGTGTTTTTTTGCAAGTTGTTCTTCTAATTTTAGGACCTGTTCAAAAACTTATTTTATAACTAATATTTTTTAAAATTAATCATTAAATTGAAAGTTATATTCATATAAATCATATATATTAATTTTCAAAATAATTTAGTGGGTTTAATTATTTTGTTGATTACATAAAATTTAAAATTGAAAATTATGTGTTGGTAAATAGAGTTTATTTAATCAAAGAGTTAAGTTTTAAATTAATATGAAAAATGATATGCATAATATACATGAATTTAACTTTTAGTTTAATGATTAGTTTTTTAAAATATTAATTAAAAAGTAGGTTTTTATATATGTTCTCCTAATAAAATTTTTTGAAGGGTGACCTGCTCTACTATAATGCCTTAAATTATATTTTTAGTCTTAAAAAACAGGGAAGCACAACATGCTTTATATGCATTGAGCTAGGATGTGGTTCTTCAACTCTATTATTGTATAACAAGTCTTGTGGTATAAGCTTAATCAATGGTGTCTAATGTCTACTAGTTCTGGGGTCTCGCAGAAAGCTTGGTTCTAACCTGCACTCAGGGTTAGCAATTTTTTTCCATGTCATTCTCAAGTAGTAACTTAGGTGATAAGGACAAGAATGTGGTTTATCTGTGGTATTTTAACAAGCTTGGGACCTGCATCTTTGTAGATGATTGTAAGGCAGTAAATCAATTAACATACTCGTGAACTACTCAACTCAATATTGAAAAGGGCTTGGCTTGATCTTATTATTGTAGTTCCAATATCAAACTTAAGTATTGAGTGATGTCACTGCTTTTCCTGGAACCGCTCCAACTCCTCCATGCCATGGCACTCTTCTTCTCTCCATCTTTCATTTTTGTTTCTTACCATAATGACATCATTTGATAATATGTGAATGTGAATGAGGCTGGGATTTAAATGAATACACTAAGTACGTACATGGCTAAGATTGAATTAAGTATGCATTTGCCCCCTCAGTTGAGGTGGCAATGCACCCATTGTATTCCTGGCTTGTCAGGATTCAATATATAAGTATGACACTTGTTTTGTAATGTAAAATTATCCCTGTTCCTCCAAATTTCCCATTGTTTCAACAAAAAAAGAAAAAGAAAAAGAAAAAGAAGATTAAATTAAGTATAAGGGAAATTGTGAATTAGTTACTTGTTGTTTGAGGTATAAATGTAAATATAGACATAAAATTTTAAAATAGGCATATAACATACATATATTAAAGTTAATGTAACAAATTAATAATTCCTCCATGCTAAGGCTTTGTTTAGGACTACTTTACACAATATTTTTTTTACAGAACCTTATTTAAAAATATAAATTTATTACAAATAATGAATTTTAATTAATATTTTAAGCATATTTATAATAATTTTAATTAATATTTTATATAATTTTACTATAAAAGGAGACAAAAGACCTACAATTAAAATAGAGTACTCTCAAACAAAACCAAAAGAAAAAAAAAAACTCAATTAAGAAACTATATATTTAGTAAATTAACAACTCCCTGGTAAAAAAAAAAAAAAACTTTAAAATAGTTTTTGTTAAGTGCTACAATTCAAACTTAATAAAAAATTAAGAAATCTAATTATAATTACATCAAAAATATGTTTTCATTAACTATTAAAATTCAATCTTGAATAGGACTTCATATATATCTCATTCATCAACCATTGAATCTTCCCATTTTACACTACCTACACACGCTTTTCTCGGCCGTTTCTATTCCATCGGTCTTTGTTTGCTTTATTAATGTCAGGTCTTTCGTTGCTCTGAGCAATTTCTTATTTCTCTTTTGTTTTGTTTATGGGGTTGCAATGTACCCTAACTCTCAAACTATCAATAAGTTAATCAAAAGACAATTTTAAGACCATATTACGTCTTTATGGTATATGGAACACAGTTGGTCAGGGAGGAATGAGCTAACCAATCCTTTTGGTGTGGCCGATATCGAAGTTAATTAATCTAAGTGTTTTATTATTATTATTATTATTTTAATATTTTAATAATAAACTAGAGAATGGGAAGTTTTTAATAAAGAGATATATAGAGGGAAGCAACTATAACGTTTTTTTTTTTTTTTTTTAACATGAGGAAATTAAGGAGGATAAGGAATTTTTTTAAGTTATTGGGTGAAAGTTGAATTCTCGACTTACTAAATCCAAGTATTAAAATTTGAAGATAAATCATTAGGTTCAAAAGTTCGGTTTAACAACTATAATGTATTTAAAGATAAAAAATTATAATAATACATTAAAATATGATTGAATATTATGACAATATTCTTATTAGTATTCTAAATATTATGTGAAACTTTTTGCAAGAAAATATTACTTAAAAAATAACAAAATGTGCTAATAGTCTAAACTTTTTAGAGGCTATTTTTATGAAAATTTGTCTTCATTTTTTAAAATTAAATGATTAAATTAATAGGCTTTAAATCTTTTTTCTTATCTACCATTAGAACTTTTTTTTCTTAATGAATTATGACAACTAAAATTAGTAATTATCAAAAAGAAATAAACACCTTACTAACACAAAAATACCTAAAAATACTCAATGCCAAACGAGGACTAAAACTATTTAAAAGATCAGGAAGCGTAGTAGCAACAATTAAGAGATAAAATACTTGATTAACAATCTATAAATGTCAAAGACCATGTCCACATAATTTCCCCCACAATTTTTAAATCTGGATCTCGTTTACTCCTCTCCGTACTGCTTGCTGGCTACTCAAATATATCATATTAAAAATAAAAATAAAAAAAACTTCAAAGTTTAAACAACCGATAATATTGTAAAAATTTGTCCCTCACTTTGATCTAACCCGAACCGTAAAATATGTAATCATTTAATTAGGAGAAGATCCTATTATTAAAGAGACATTACCTCCATTTAATAACAATGAATTGTAAAAGCTCGAATTTATAATGTCTTAGTAAATTAATGAGTTTATTAGAGACACTTAGAGACACTTAAATGATTAAGAAATTAAATTTTTAATTTAAAATTTAAAATTTTACTTTATTAAATATTAATAACTAAATTTCGAAACCAATTATATATTTTAATATAATTATTTTTAAATTCGGATATCAAAATTTAATATGATAAATTTTTAAATTTTAAATTGAATTTAATTAAATAAAACGACATTGCTTAAGATTTGAACTTTAATGTTTTTTGAAATCAAAATTGATATGTACTTTTTCTTATATATATAAGAGGAATTTATTTATACATTATATTTATACAAAATTTTAACTATTTATTTCTTTATTTTCAATTATTAAAATTTATTATGAATTTTTAGATAAAAAAATAATTAAATTATAAATATCCTAAAACCATGTTAATTAATAATTTATTTTTATTATTTTAAATCACAGGATCTCGTCATCTCGGTTCCTTCCACGTCACAACGAGCGTACATCGCCCGCTAAAGAGTGAGTGCGTTGGGTGATTGCGTGTACAGGCGAACACTCAGCGCGTAAATAAAGAATGGAAAAAAAAAAAAAAAAGTGGAGAGAGAAAAGGAAAGAGCCAGCGGTTTAGTCTTTGGAGTGCCTGTGAGAGGAAAGCGTTCACATCTCGCTCCAAATCATGCATTCTCAGTTGAATCTCCGGCGGCCAATCAAGCTGTAGTATTGCTCTGGTGGTCGAAATAACGACGGTGAGGGATTATAGATTTGGTTGGAATAGAAGAGTATTTTTGGAGACAGCGATTGATAGGGACGGAAGTGAGTGAGGAAGGTGGAGAGGACTGAGAAGAGATGAAAGGCGTCGGTGGCGGTGTGGGAGGCGTTTCTCCGGCGAAACGGAGGTGGAGAAGCCTTGTCATTGGCGTGCTTTTCCTTGTTGTTCTCTCCATGCTTGTTCCACTCGGATTCTTGCTCGGTCTTCACAATGGCTTTCACTCTCATGGTAATTACAATGATTTCTGTCTCTGCGAATTCGACACTGCACTTGTTCTTGTTGAATCATGCGTTTTTTTTATTAGATCTGTTTTCTCTTCCTCTATTTTCCTTCTCCATTGGATACTTGCTTTCCGGATCATGTCTTGGTTCTGGTATTATTTCGTTGTATTTGATCGCAATCTCAGATCTAGATTCAATCACTGTTGAATTTGACAATACTTGATCTCTTTTTCTGTTTATGATTTCATAGACTATGCATTTGCACTGTTGATTCTATGCTTGGAGAATCTCAGTGGGGATTCAGACTTTTTTATTGGCATGTTCACTGGATCTCCTTCAATATTGTTTTTAGTAGCATAGATGTTTCTCTTGGTTACATCGTTCTGCTGCTTTTAATAATACCTACTAGTGCAGCATCAATGTCAGATTTCTCTGTCTCAAATTTTATCTGGCTTTCTATTCTAAATCTTGCGTTCTATCCAATTTGGTTCTTCCACAGGTTTCGTGCCCATTCAACACACTTCACAGTCCGTAAGTGTTTCAACGTGTGAATTTAAGTTACATATTTTCATTTACTTTCCTTGTTTGGGGACCAATTCATAATTTAACTTATTTAATGATTATTTTGCAATTGGTATCAGAATGTTATTGGAGATTTTGATAGATATGGCACCAGAGACTTTTGGAATCATTCACAGGTAATGAGTTTAAAGCTGGCCTCAAGGCTCTGAATCCATAATAATGTTGGTTTCCAAAGAGTGGAATTATTTTAAAAATTGCATTGCTTAAAATCATTTTCTGTCCCTGAACCTCAAATGGAGAACAAGCATTCTTTGATCCATTTTCATCTAATCCTGAACAGAAACTTTTCCTTTGATAATTGATGTTTTATATGTCTTTTTCTTTTCTTTCCTTTTTTTTTTTTTTTTTTTGTTGATACTCTTTTTTGGTACAGGGTGCTAGTTCAAACCATATAGATGACCTTCTGCGGCAAATTGAACCAAAGTTGCCAAAGGTTCGGTGCATGACTCCGATGATGACTAGTATTGCTTATACATTGTTATTTTTCATCTTCTGCTACTCTTTCTTGCAATGTTTATTATCTGTGTTGTTTGATACTGCTGAATTGCACATCACTTACTAGCATTAAAATTTTAGGGGAATGATCAGTACTCATTGGCTTTTATTCAATTAGGCTTTATGAGTAAAGAGCTTTGTATATGATCTTTAACTTAAAAGAATTGGATTGGGTTGAGGTAGCTGAAGCCCTTAGACTAGTTCTCTCCCTTGGCTCAGAGGTAAAAAAATGTTGAAAAAGAAACCCTTAAAAACTGAGTCATCTGTCACGATCAAGTTGAAAGGATTCTTAACTCTTGAAAAAGTGGAGAGGAAGCTGCTATCTCTTGGCATATTTAATATCTTTGATGCCCCCTTGGTCCCACTAGGGACTATCTATGCCCTTGTTTTCAGAATTTTCAGTTAATGACAGCATTGATTAAGCTTTTACAAAATATCTTTTAAATTGTTGTTAATTAATTAAAATTAAGGATGGCCTTTTTTATGATTATTTTAGTTAATCAATCCTTCTCTTTCCTAACCAAAAAATTGAAAAGAACAGCATTTTTAAAGGCAGAGAATCTCCATGCATTTGAATTATGAAAGATGCACCAAAACTGACAAAGTAAAATTTTCCAGGATGTTGTTAAACTTTTTTATTGCCCTAGTGATATCATATCCGATAGTTCCTAGTTGAATAACATAAATTCAGTATAATGTAACAGTGTGTGTGTATATATGTTTATATATGCCTCATAAGCTGTATATAGATACATACTAGCTGAGAGTAATAGAGGATACTCTTAGTCACCACTTGCAGCTTAGAAATCATTGATTTTGTTCTCTCATAGATATGGTCACAATTTTCGAGATAATTTTATCTCCTAAATTTTGAAAAATATTGTGATTCTTTATAGCTAAGTTAATTTCCTTTATTTTTTGGTTGAAACAAGAAATTAACATTTGAGTTTCTGATTGTTCATTGCTTGCTGGTTAAGCAAGATGGATTTCACCTGATAAGGCTATTCTGCTGACTTTGTTGGATTCAAAATTAGGTCAGGCTTTTTCTTGCTATTAGTCCTGGAAATTGGAATGGTGATTTTTGGCCCAAAAGTGGGCTAGCCAGCAGATGGGCTGACCAAGCAACTTCTACACTTGCTTGAGTGTTGGACAGGCCAGCTGCAACCCAACTGAGCCCCTGCACACTCTTTTAGCTTCGCTAATGCCTTAAAAACATGTGATATGAATTTGAAGAAATTGGAAGATTCTAAAAGTGCTTCCTTCTGGTGCTGCAACATTGGTTCCAATTCTTAAGGAATAAGAGAAAATAAGTGGAAGAGATACCAACTACCATTCTTAATAAATGAATTTGTTATTATTATTATTATTATTATTATTATTATTATTGGAGGAAGGAAGGTTCTCTTCTTCTTCAGATGTCTCATAGTAGCACTTTACCTTGCAAGTTGTAGCTTGTATTGATTTTGGAAGCAATTCTTTTTACTATTTAGAGTCCAAATATTTGATCTAATGTGAATCCTCAGCTTCCTTTTGCAGCTGGAAATTAAGCTATGTAAACATTGTTAAAAAGCTTTTTATCCCAGTTAGTTTTGGAAATTGTTCTACCATTTATCATTTTGCTAAGTTGCCACTGTCAAGACCTTTAATCTGTGCTCATATGTTTGTTGGCCTAAGACTTGTTGCTTTTTACCCAGATATTGGCCATTTCCATAAACATTAGTGCATTCTTTTCTTGTGTAGTGTTGCTGGATGGAGTATAATTTTATTTAGTTCTCTTCTGTTTAATAAATCTTTGTTAGGCTAATAAGTAATTGTCCCTCTATGATTAGTATTGAAGCTCAATATTAATTTTTAGGATAAGGCAAGAATTTCATTCAATGCAAAAGTCCTGCTCAGGGTACATGTGCAGTCAACTGGGCATACCCAGCTAATCAACTATTCCATCCCTTAAGCTCAATATCAATTATGTCAGTTTAATTTATCTCAAAACTAATATTTTTTACAGCAGTGGAGGTTTCTTGTCTCATGCTCTTCTGTTTTGCAATTCAGGATGTTATTGGAAACATAGTGAATGAAGCTACAAACAAAACAATTAGTCTGACTGCCTCAGTTAATAGTCAACCGAAAATAGGTCTGCTTGAACTCTTTCTTGAACTGTTTCTATGATAATTTCCAAGGCCCTTTATAAGATGTGAATTTGGAACTCTATTTCACTTTCTAGATGATCGACAGGTGTCCCAGTGCCACTTCCTGCTGTGCGGCAACCACCTCCCAATAAAAATGTATGTATGCAATTACTTCTGTAGAGTGTTGCACATGTGCCACATTTCTCAGCAATGCCTACCCAAATTAGTTTGATGTGCTTTTGCAGAATGTTGGATTTGGTGGTAAGGGATTCACTGGAAATTCCAAAGGTAGCATCAACGAAAGTGGAAGGTTATGTGAATTGAGATATGGAAGCTACTGCCTTTGGCGTGAAGAAAATAGGGAAGAAATGAAGGATGATATGGTGAAGAAATTGAAGGACCGGCTTTTTGTGGCAAGGGCTTATTTTCCTAGCATTGCAAAAATTCCAGCTCAGAATAAATTGTCTCGTGAACTAAAACAGAATATTCAAGAGTTAGAGCGAGTGCTAAGTGAAAGTACTACAGATGCTGATCTTCCATCACAGTAAGTCATCATACTTTTTGCATTGTTTCATTATCTTCTTATCATTTTTTTTTTTATGATAATTAATTTCGTATACAGAGTCATAATTCATAAAATTTATCTTATGAAAGCACTAGCAGATGCATGATATGCAGGATTCCAGGTTCTTAATTCTTTGATTTGTTCTGTTGATAATTACCTGCCATGCTTTGTTTCCATTTGGTATTTCACAGGTGGTATCTTGAACATATCACATGTCCTGTAATATACATCTATTTGCTAAAAACATATCACATGTAATTCATGGCTTGTAAATTCATCTGCAAACTGTTTTTGTTAGTTTCATACTCCGAGTCACATGGTTGCAGCATTCTTGCTAGTTGCCTCCAATATTTGGCAATTGGGATGCTTTTTTTAGTGTCAATGTTTTGCCAAGTTATTCTGACAAGCCATATCTCTTTCTGTTGCCTGTCACAGCATCTTGACTGAATACTAAAGTATCAAATGCCTTATAGACTCCTGCAAATTATACTAGTGTTGCTTAAAGCATTAAACGCTATCATTATTGATGTTCTGTCCAGTTGTGATGGCCTTATTATTTCATTCATTGTCCTATTTGAGTACTCAGATTTTTCTGTTACCATTTTGGTCATTTCGATTAACTTATGACTTGCCTTTGAACTAAGTGCAATTTTACTGGTTTGACCAGGATTGAGAAGAAGTTACAGAGTATGGAGGCTGCAATAGCCAAAGCTAAATCAGTCCCCACTGTGGATTGTAATAACGTGGACAAGAAATTGAGACAAATACTTGACATGACTGAGGATGAAGCTAACTTCCATATGAGGCAGTCTGCCTTCCTCTTTCAACTTGCAGTCCATACCATGCCTAAGAGTCTACACTGCCTGAATATGAAACTAACTGTGGAATATTTCAAATCTCATTCATTTGATAAGGAGTCTGAAAGATTTTCTGATCCTAAGTTACACCATTATATTATCTTCTCCAAAAATGTACTAGCATCATCAGTTGTAATCAACTCTACAGTTATGCATGCAAGAGTAAGTGCTGAACAATTTCCACTGTGCTTTTTGATTATTTCATACCATACCAGTTGTGGTGATAATACTGACTTGTTATCTTGTTATATTTCAGGAAAGTGAGAACCAGGTTTTTCACGTGTTAACTGATAGACAAAACTACTATGCAATGAAACTTTGGTTCTTCAATAATACTTACAAGGATGCTGCAGTTCAAGTGTTGAATATTGAAGAATTTAACTTAGATCATCTTGAGCAAGCAAATCTTTCTCCCCTGTTCTTACCTATGGAGTTTCGTGTTTCTTTTCACAGTGTTGATAATGCTGGGGCAATCCATAATGGAACGCAATACATGTCTACTTTTTCTCATTCACATTATATTCTTCCCGAGATATTCAAAAGTTTGGAGAAGGTTGTGATTCTGGATGATGATGTCGTTGTCCAACAAGACTTGTCAGAACTATGGAGTATGAACATGGGAGGGAAAGTCAATGGTGCTTTACAATTTTGCTCAGTGAGGTTGGGTCAGCTGAAAAGCTACTTGGGTGAAAGTGGTTTTGATAAGAATTCTTGTTCATGGATGTCTGGATTAAATGTAATTGATCTAGTCAGGTGGAGAGAGCTAGGCCTTTCTGAAACTTACAGGAGGTTTGTAAGAGAGGTTAGTAACTGTTTATTCTGCCCAATGTGTACTTCTTTATATGTATAAGCCTATTACTTTTGCCTCCTTGGTGCCATCCCTTTATCGTTTTGCTATAAGCCTATAAGACTTATGACAAATGAGTTATCCTTGTATATAACTTCTCCATTCTACATGTGCCTCTTTGTTGAGCATTATAGTTGTAGGACCAATAACTGGAATTGAAATTCTTACATTTTTCCTCCTTTTCGTGCATGAACAGCAGGCAAACATGGGAGAGGGATCAGCACTGCAGGCAAGCTTTCTTACCTTCCAGGACCTAATTTATGCTCTTGATGGGATGTGGGCTTTATCAGGGCTGGGTCATGACTATGGGCTTGAAATTGGAGACATCAAGAAGGCTGCAGTTTTGCACTATAATGGAAATATGAAGCCTTGGCTGGAGTTGGGAATCCCAAAGTACAAAGAATATTGGAGGAAGTTTCTGAACCAAGAACATCAATTCTTAAGTGAGTGCAATGTGCATCCATGATGAACAGGTTCAGGTTTTTACCATCTGAGTTTTGAAGGCTCTAGAAGCTAGCTGCTGAAGGTTTTTTACTTCAAGCTAGATTTTCAGAAGAGATAATGGACAGTAGCAACATGGTGACTGATGATGAATCTTACAAATGATTATTTCTGATTTTTTTGGGTAAATAAATGGGGTTGGTATTCTACCTAGTACTTCAGCGGAAAGGGATCAGATTTCCTCAGAGGTGACCACAGTTGCTAGGGCAAGAAAGATTTGAGGTTTTAATCCGATTTGTTGGACAATCCAGGGATTGATGGAAGAGCTTTATCTTTATTCTCCTGCTCCTCGCTCGGTCCGGTAAAACTTTTGACAAACAATTATTCTACACGGAAGTGTGTGATGGTATCATGTTCGTCGATAGCCAAGTTGTAAATGATTGTTTGTGAGAAGGCAAGGGGTGGTTTGCCCTTCAGAGTAGGTCATTCTTCTTTTAGATTGCTATGGTTTGCCCTTCAGAGTAGGTCATTCTTCTTTTAGATTGCTATTTATTTGATTTGAAATTTGTTTTGATTAGGTCATAAGGAAAATTAATGGACTAATTTTCTATAAAGAATTTGTATTGTTTAATAGTTGACTCCTCCATTATGTACCAGTTGAATTGACATTCTGCCTGAATTGTGGCTCTCTTACTTCGAAATTGGAACCATTGAATGATACCTCTTCTTAAGTCATTTCTTGTCCACTGCTAACTCCAGCTGAATCTCAATCCCCTCCCCTTTTTTCGTTTGGGTTTTTGTTTTATAAAAATTTCCTGATCATGGAGCATGCGATGCTGGGTGTTAGAGACAGATTGTATTTGCAATGAACTTCTTGACCTCATTGGATGGATCTGCAATTCCCTTTTTCTTTATCTGGAGTAAGATTTGTGATGGATAATGCTATAGTTACGATATGAATTAAAAGTTTAAAATTATAGTATGTGATTAAATAAGTGTTATATATTATTAAATATATTGATATATATAATATCACATATGATTTATTGTATAAAAAAATAAATTATATAGTTACGATATGAATTAAAAGTTTAAAATTATAGTATGTGATTAAATAAGTGTTATATATTATTAAATATATTGATATATATAATATCAAATATGATTTATTATATAAAAAAATAAATTATATAATTACACATTATATTATAAATTATAACATCACATGTGATATTATATCTATATTATTTTTGTTTTGTTTTATAAATGATCAATAAGAGTGAAATTTAAGATAAAATTCTCATTATGCACAATTTTTTTTATATAATATAACTTATTTTTATAAGATAAATAACTAAATTTAACCCCCAACATTTACTATAAAGATTAAATATTCTCTTTATCTTTTATTTGGATAAAAAAATAATCTCTCAACCTTTTCAAGATCACCAAGTCAAATTTACCGTTAGTCACTTCCATTCAATCTTAACGGAATTCTTAGAATTTTGTGATACCTACAACGGACTCTCAATTAGGAAAATGCCTAAGAAACCCTCCTCTTTTTTTCAAATCCAAACTTTTATTCCCATTTTTATTTTAACAATGCTGTACTTGGGTTTTTTTTTTTTTTTCTTTAACGAACTCTACATCCCTATTTCATTTTTTTATTATTTTTATTATTTTTATTAACGAAAATCCCTCATTTCAGTTTTTAAAACTTTTGACATGAAAAATGACTAAACGATAATTTTTTATATAATTTTATATATTATTTAAATAATTAATTTTTTAAATTTATTTAAAACTTAAGTGCTTTTGTTTATTATACGTAAAAATTGTATAAAAATTATTAAAAAAAAAAAATTCTCCATATCACTGTCCTTCGGCAATTATTACTAACAAACAAAAATTCACAAACTACCGATCTCCTTTTCGGTGGACTACCAATGTCCAACTCAAATCGGAATTGATTTCACCTCTGCATGTGTTAGATGAATAGGCGAAATCAGATCCCCATTTCTTTTGTTTCAGTTTTTCTGATTTATTTATTTTTATTTTCTTTTTATTAGGAACCTTTTTTTTATTTTTCTTTAAAAAAAGTGCAACCATGGATTACAATGAAATTGATAATTTTTTTGCGTGATTAAAAAATAAATTTTTACTTTTATTTGAAAATAAATTCTTATTTTCTTTAAAAAAGAGAATAACAATGGAGTTTTCAATGGTTATTTCATGTTATTGTTGTCATTAATTTTTTTGACAGAAAATTTTATAAAACATAATTAATCAATTTTTAATATTTTCTAATTAATCATTTGATCTCAAATAATATTATGCATTACCAAATGGTTATCTAAGATTTTGTTTAGAATGGTTGGGTTGTATTTTGAATTTTTAGTTTTGATTTTTAAAATTCAAACAATTGAAATTAATTAACAATTACAAATTAAAATTATCAACTAATTAAACATAAAATTTTAAAACAAATACTCAAAATTTTAAATTTAATTAATTGAAAGAACTATTTAATTTTATTCTAAAATTTCTAAATTTTTAAAAATTAAAAAAAAAAACCTAAAACTACAACTGATAAAAATATAAATTATTTTTTTATTAGGATAAAAGCTTAAAAATTAATGACAACAACAACATGAAAAACCATTTACACAAAATTAATTAGGGCGCAGCATTGTCATCATAAAAATTGTTAAAATAAATAAAATTTTATTTTTATTCTTAAATAGTATTTAAAAATATTAATTTAATAACTGATAAATATAAATTATCTTATCAATTATTAATTATTTTTATCAATTAAATTAAATTAAATTATTATTTTTAAAAATAATATTTTATAATTTTGATAGGGTGACTGTATCCCCACAATTAAATCATCTCCTGTGCTTTATCACGCTTAGGAGTGTTTGTACGGATAAATTTTGTCTTTTTTTTGGTCGGCATTTGTACGGAATAAGTTGAGTTTGAGCTCATTACCGCAGAGGAAAATGGAATCCTTATTCCTTAGTTTTAATGCCGGTAACTCACTGCACCCTCATTCAAACCCCATTACCCAAAAATGCAACATGAAATAACTGCTGTGACAAGCAGACATTCCTGATGATATAATCAATTAAATTTGATAATGAACTAAGAATTCAAATTATAGCAGTAAGTGATAATAGGTACATTTACATTTCACATCCCTCAAACCCTATCAAGAAAAAGAAAGAAAGCTAACACCGGTGGGCGGCGCCCGCCGCAGTACTAACATGAAAAGGCCGCCACGCGGAAGCAGTGAGCAAGCAAAGGTCCTTCCATCCAAGCTTGAGTGTACCGCTATCCTCCACCAATGTATACCCATCGGACGGAAACATACCCAGCAAAAGGGTGGCTTGTGTGGCGGCGTTGCCTGCCAGAGATATACCCTTAAACCCACACTGCTCCAACTTCTCCCTCCAGTTATGGAACTTCACCTCCCTGCTCCTCGATGGCCCTCCCACAGCTAAAACATTCCGTATCTCCCTCGATAACAGCTGCTGCTCCACCACATGCCGCTCCTCACTTTCCTCTCCATAGCTCGCTCCCAATGAATCAAACAGCGCAGAGTAGTAATGTATCGCCTCCACAAACCTCCCTAAAAATGACCCCGCCGGACTCAGGTCCTGTTCCACCACCGTCACGACCTTCGGCGCTAATCTACAGCGTCCATAAAAAAAATCATGAGATATAGAATCCATTTTTCTCTTTATATTTTAATTAAAATCAAACATAAAAAATACAACTATAAATTCAGAAAATCAACTTTTTCAGAAGTATTATTTCCATGACACAGAAAAAGCTAAAAAGGTGAAGAACTGTATCTTTGATTCTTTGTGCATGGAAGAATAAAAATTATATATAAATTTGGGAATAAATAAATGGGTTGAAGGAAAAAAGTTACCTTTGCAGAAGCCAGAGGGTGTTTGTATCAGACCCAGTTACGTCGTACAGTGAATGCTGCAGCCAATGGACGGCAACGGCCTCCCTCTTACTGACATTCAGCCTTTCCGGGTCTATCTTTCCGACCTTGTCTGCCACCGGATGGAACTCGAAGGGGAGACCCAGTTTCTCGGCGAAATCGGAGAGGCGTTTTCCGGTGGCTTCGAGGGATTCCATAGAAGTTCCGAGACCGGTTAGTCGGACGTGCGGTGGGCCGCTAGGTCTCGACGCCAGGATGTGGAAGAGTCCGGGCCATTGTAGCCCTTGCATTATGTCGAGATCTATGATGTGCACCTTCTCCTCTCTCTCAAACGCTTCTTGGATCGCCTGGTTCGCTGTGAAATGGGAGAATTTTACGAACGGGCTAATTCCGTTGAACACTTGGAACGCCGAAGCCATTCTCTGGCTGTGGCTCTGCGGAAGCGTTGGGAGCGCCGCATAGATTCCCAGACACGAGCTTACAAGCCTCGCTGACATTGCTTCCGTGAAATACGCCGCCACGCGCTGCGCAGACGTCCCGAACGGCGTCGCTAGTTGGGAAAGTTCTAGGAGCATCCGGTTTGCTTCCTCGAAGTCATCGGCTGAAACGGCCTCCGCGCACTGCAGGAGTAAGGTCAAGAGGTGCAACCCTTCTTCGTCTCTTTTCTGTCGCCGTAACTCCTCTTTTTTGTCTCCGTTGCTGCTTGTTTGGAGGGTGGACGTGGGCGTTGGGACGGTGGTTGGTGGAGGCGTTGTCGCTACTGGAGAAGAGTTTTCTTCTTCCAACGGTTGGTCCAGAGCATGAGATACTTGGGGAGGAGAAATATTCTGTGTTTCATTTAGTGAAAGAACCGGTGCAGTAGAAGGGGGAATAGGTACTTGATGATCGTACGGCTGATGCTGGTTGTTTCCATCGCCGGAGGAGACTGGAAGCGGTGGAGTTATACCCCAGTTTGAGTACGGATTCATCGTAGAAGATTCCAGCAAGGAAAAATTAGGGACAGTATCTAGAGTTTCAGAATCCGAGTTGAGCGTGATTCCGGGGGAGGCTGCTTGCCTCTGCAGTAACCCTACCGGAAGCGGCAAGTGCAACGGTTGCAGCTCCTTCCTCCTCCGTTCCAGAGGTTCCATTAACGAGCAAAGCCTGTACTCAAGAAGTGAAGCGAGATTTGGGTTGCAGGGGTAGATGATTTCCCGGACGTTGTGGATGAGCTGAGGAATCGAAACGTTGGTGGAGCTGTGGATAAGGTCCTTTATGATTCCGTCGATCCATGCGGTGGCCGTGGTGTCCTCCATGGCAATCGGAGCCAAAGAAACAGACGAAGACGTAGCAATTCCAGCCGTTGGGTTTCTATTTCTCTCCGGAGGTGGGAACAACGGCAGACCCGAGAATCCACAGACGGCGGGAGTCTGAGAAGGGTTAGCTGGGACGGCTTCCACCGAGGAAAAATTGGGAAAAGTAGTAGCTAAAAACCCAGGTCCGGCTGGCGTCACGGTTGAAGACACCATGGCGGTATTTACATTCATGGTGGAGTAGTTGAGAACAGCGTTAGGATTAACCGCACCATTACCCACCGTGGCCGCCAAGAAAGAACGCCCGACAACATTCTCAGCCGCCAAACTCCGGCGAGGAAACCGGTTATAGTCCCCAATCTCTGGCGCCATCCTCTTCCTCACCATCTTCCTCTCCGACAAGTTACTCCTGCTAGTACTATTCGACGCGGTGGTTATCACCGTCAGTGGACTAATTTCACCGCCGCCATTACCACTCCCATTATTATTCCCATAAACACTCCCCCCTACCAAATCACAAGCCGCCATGAAAACCCAGAAAACCTCCAAACCCAATTTACAGAACCACCGCTACTTCTTCTTCCCTTACTCTTCATTTCATCGATCAACTTATAAAAGGAAAAAGGAAGAAAGACAACCAAACAGATAACGTTAGCAGCTTTGGGATTCTTCTTGAAAACAGCTCAAAGTCCCATGTTACTCAAGATATAATAATGGAAGTACACCGACGGGTTGCCGTTTGGATGTTTGTGGAAATGTCACAGAGAACCAAGGATGGGGAGAAATAAAGAAAAAAGGTAAGAGGTGGTGGGGAGGAGGTGGATGAGGGTGGAGGTGGTGGTGTTGGGCTGGTAGCTGGGCGTCTTTTTATTGGGGCATAATGAAGGATTAAAGGAGAGGGGGGAGCAGGTAAGGGGTGATGGGGTGTCACAGAAGAAGAGGAGATGAAATTTTTAGTCTGTTTTTGTTCGTCGTTGCTTGTTTGACGTCTTCGTTATTGCACTAGGAACGACCATCGATTTCTATGATCTCTGCCTGTTGCGTTTGTCATTTAATAAATTTAATTATTATAATTAACGATCGCTGCTGCACATCTTTGTTTCGCTTTACACTAGGAAAAAATTTTTGTAAGGTGTATTTTCTTTGAATTTTTCTAACTTTTACTCTTAAATTCTAATTTAAAGTTATATTTATTGTGTTTATTATTTTATAATTTTTTAAATAAAAAATATTATTTTTAATAAATATAATAACAAATAAATAAGTTTCAATCATTAAAAAAAAAGAAATGAATAATTAAAATTTTATATAAATATGATATGTAAAATTTGTATATAAGTAAATTTTTATTTATTTTATATTATTTTTATTATTTGTGTAGG